CGCCTGGCCAAAATGGTGAAACCCCAACTCTACTAAAAATACAAACATTATCTGAGCGTGGTGGCGCAAGCCTGTAGTCCCAGCTACTTGGGAGGCTGAGGCAGGAGAATTGCTTGAACCTGGGAGGCAGAGGTTGCAGTGGGCCGAGATTGTGCCACTGCATTACAGCCTGGGCAACAGAGCAAGACTGTGTCTCAAAAAAAAAAAAAAAGAAAAATTGGCCGGGCGTAGCGGCTCATGCCTGTAATCCAAACACTTTGGAGGCCAAGGCGGGCGGATCGCCTGAGGTCAGGAGTTCAAGACCAGCCTGATCAACATGGTGAAACCCCGTCCTTAAAAAAAAAAAAAAAAAAAATTGTCTCATCTTAGGCTTCCCAAATGTAGGAACCCCGAAGGAAGAGCAGACGCTGAGTCAGAAACACTCTGGCGGGAAGGAGCCTGGCAATTCTCAGGGTATTGGGTATAAACGATGAGGGGTGACTCAGGAAAGTCCCGGGGGCTGGTTCGCATTCGCAAACATGGTGGACCTACACACGGCAGGCCCGGGGCTGGGAGGCTTTTGCCAGCAGTCTTTCCTACAGATTAATGTGAATAAAGTTCACTGATTTAGTGCCAGGCACTGTACTCACCCTCTGCAGAGATGACCTCAGGTGCTGTTCCACCTCCAGACTACACTGATCCCACCCATATAGCTCCATTTCTGACCCCACCATCCCAGGCCAAGCTCTTCCACTGATTCCTGACCCAGGTGACCAAAATCGTCCCATCTGGTCCCCCTCACCCTGACTCCTACAACCCTTCTTCATGCAGCACACAGGAAGAAATTTTCTGAAAGTAATATGGGGACTGGGTGTGCGGTGGCTCAGGCCTGTAATCCCAGCACTTTGGGAGGCTGAGGTAGGTGGATTGCTTGAGCTCAGGAGTTCAAGACCAGCCTGGCCAGCATGGTGAAACCCTGTCTCTACTAAAATTACAAAAATTAGCTGGAAGCAGTGGTGCGTGCTTCTAATCCCAGCTACTCGGGAGGCTGAGGGAGGAGAATCGCTTGAACCCGTGAGGCAGAGGTTGCAGTGGGCCGAGATTGCACCACTATAAAAAAATAATAATCTATTGTGTGAATATGCTACATATATTCACCTATTAGCCTTGATGGACGTGGGAGTTGTTTCTGGGTTTGAGAACAGAGGCTGCAGCAAACATTCTCATCCACATCTCCTGGAGTGCGTGTGTAAGATTTTCCCACGGTATGGACCCAGGAGTGGAACTGCAGGGTCACGTGTGAGTTCAACTTTCGGGATCGCCTCCTCTTTGACCTCATCTCCCTCTCCTCTCTACTTTGACTACCAAGCTGCAGCGACACCAGCCTCCCTTTCCTTGAACAAGGCAAACCCATCACAGCCTCCAGAACTTTGCACCCACAACCCTTCCCTTCAGAGTGTGTTTCTTTCTGGGATTCCCATAACTGGCTTTTACTTATCCTCAGGACTTCATCAGCTGTGACCTCCTCAGCCCAAATGTCACTTTGCCTGTCCCCCCATCTAAATGACTTACTCCCATTCCTGCCCCAATCACCCGTGTTTCATTTCTTTTCTTTTATTTCTTTTATTATTTTTTTTTAATGAGATATTCTTGCTCTGTCCCCTAGGCTGGAGTGCAGTGGCATGATCTCAGCTCACTGCAACCGTTGCCTCCCCGTCTCCTGGGTTCAATTGATTCTCCTTCCTCAGCCTCCCCAGTAGCTGGGATTACAGGCATCCACCACCACGCCAGGCTAATTTTTGTAGTTTTAGTAGAGACACTGTTTCACCACTTTGGCCAGGCTGACCTCTATCTTCAACCTCAAGTGATCCTCCTGCCTCAGCCTCCCAAAGTGCTGGGATCACAAGTGTGAGCCACTGCTCCCAGCCTGGACTCAAACTCTAGAAAGGCTGAGACCATGTATTTGTTTTTTTTTTTGTTTGTTTGTTTTTTGTTTTTTTACAGCTGTATCACCTAGAACAGTGCCTGATATATAGACAAAAAGTGCTCAACAAAAAATTTTTGTGGAGGTGGGTACTAATCTAAATCTCATGTTAGAGATGAGAAAACTGAGACTCAGGGAGGGTAAACCGTGTGTCCAAGGTCACAGAGCTTGGAGGTGGCAGAACCAGGACTGAGCCCTAGTCTGACCAGTTCCAGTGTCCCTGTTCTTTTGGAAGGATGAGGTCTTGTCCTGACATAAACTTTTCCTCCTGCTCCCCTGTTATCAGCTGGCCATTCCACGCCACCTGTGCAGCCACCTGTTGCAGGGAACCCTGGGTCCTTCCCTTGGCTGGCACTCCTCCAGCTGCAGTGGGTGAGGACTGTGGCCTTGGACCATGGGAGACTTGGAGTTCCACCATCTGTTCTGGGAATGGGGCCTACTCTGTCCCCCACTCACCTTCTGCCTATATTAGAGCCCCGGGCTCTGTGCCCTTTTCCCATCATCCAGAAACACACGATGCTCCAGCTGCTCAGTTCCCTCCTCCTTGTGGCCGCTGGTAAGACCCCAGCCTGTGTGTGTGCTCCCTGGGCTCCCTGGACTAGGAATCCTTGAAATCTACCACCCGCTCTGAGTCCCATGACACCAACGCCTGGTGCCACAGGAGGGGGTCTCCGCTTGTACCTGGGGGCATGACTGTGGGGGCTTTTAGCTCATGATGGAGCAGGAGAGGGGAGGGGAGGCCATGGGTGGAGAAAGACTCCAAAGGACTGTGGTGGAAGTCCTTGATGGGGGCCGTAAACAAAGTCAAATGGTTAAGAGTTTGGGCTCTGTGGTTGGACATCTTGGGTTGGAATTTCCACTGTTCCGCTTACCACTCCAACTCTCCTCTCACACTCCCCCTACCTAGCCCCAGATACTATGGGCTAGCCTTTTCCTGGTCTCTCTGCCATATTGCATTCCAGCTCAGTGCCACCTCTTCCAAGCAGCCTCCCTTGACTGACAATATTGGTAATAGATAACACTGGTTGAGTGCTTACTATGTGCCAGGCAGAATGTTCAGGGTGTTTCCTATATTTTCTCATAATTCTCACAACAGCCTCATGAGATCAGAACTATCATTATCCAATTTTACTGACCCTCAGGGAAGTAAAGTAGCTTATCATAGAACATAAGGCAGAGCTGCGCCTAATTTTTTTATTGTTTGCTTTGTTTTGTAGAGATGGGGTCTTGCTTTGTTGCCCAGGCTGGTCTCAAAATCCTGGCCTCAAGCAATCCTACCAACTTGGCCTCCTGAGTAGCTGAGATTACAGGCACTTGCCACTGTATCTGGCTATTTTATTTTATTTTACTTTATTTCTGTAGAGATGAGGTCTTGCTTTGTTGCTCAGGCTGGTCTCAAACTCCTGGGCTCAAGCGATCCTCCATGCTTGGCCTCCCAAAGCACAAGGATTACAGGTGTCAGCTACCACACACAGCCCAGAGCTGCACTTTGAACCCAGGAAGTCCTTTAAAGCCTCCACTCTGTATGACAATAGCTATCACTCTTTGAGGGCTCCATTGAGGGCCAGGCATTGTTCAAAGTGTATCAATCTCTTCAATCCTCCAAGTGAAGGAGGCCACATTTTAATCTCTATCCCTGGACTCCTGGGATTCTGGAAATTCCTACTCTAGTTTAAATGTTCACTGTTCATACGTGGTTACTGAGGTCCAGAAGTGACAGGGGCTTGCATGGGGTCACACAGCCAGTTGAAGCCACAGCTTGGACTGGGACACTGGTCTCCTCTTTGCTTTTGGGGACCCTCCAGCTGATTGACAGCTCTCCTCTCCCCTCTAGCCTTAGGCTGTGGCCGACCTTCCTCTCACCCTTCTAGCCGCGTTGTCAATGGTGAGGACGCGGTCCCCTACAGCTGGCCCTGGCAGGTAAGAGCACCAGCTGCATTAATTCCCACCATGGGCTCTGGAGCCTAATCTCTAATGATGTGCCAAGGCATCCAGCCTTGACACCATTGATCCCTTTGCAATATCCACTTCAGCTTCCAAAGACCAGGAAGCCCCTGGACCTTCTACTTTACATGGAGGTTTTGCCCATTCCGTCTGTAACCCTCACTGGGCGATTTGCAACTTAAAAGTGGAATCAGGGGCCGGGCATGGCAGCTCACGCCTGTAATCCCAGCACATTGGGAGGCCGAGGTGGGAGGATCACGAGATCAAGAGATCAAGACCCTCCTGGCCAACATGGTGAAACCCTGTATCTACTAAAAAATACAAAAAATTAGCTGGGCATGGTGGTGTGCGCCTGTAGTCCCAGCTACTCGGGAGGCTGAGGCAGCAGAATTGCTTGAACCCAGGAGGTGGAGATTGCAGTGAGCTGAGATTGCACCACTGCACTCCAGCCTGGTGCCTGGCAACAGAGCAAGACTCTGTCTCAAAAAAAAAAAAAAGTGAAATCGGGCATAAAGGTAATGCTTAACTCAAGGAGTTGGCACACTGGTGGTGGACTTTCAGACACTGTGTTGAAGAAGTAAGATTTTGAAGGACTCATTTCTACATTCCTAGGATGATACAACAGGGCTATGAAGTCTGAAAGCAATAAGGGAGTCAGGGGCTTTGTAAGGCCAGTGGAGGGAAGGCTGGACTTGATGTGCTGTGGCTATTTAAATTTAATTAACTTTAAATTATTATTGGGCCGGGTGCGGTGGCTCAAGCCTGTAATCCCAGCACTTTGGGAGGCCGAGGCGGGTGGATCACGAGGTCAAGAGATCGAGACCATCCGGTCAACATGGTGAAACCCCGTCTCTACTAAAAATACAAAACATTAGCTGGGCATGGTGGTGCGTGCCTGTAATCCCAGCTACTCAGGAGGCTGAGGCAGGAGAATTGCCTGAACCCAGGAGGCAGAGGTTGCGGTGAGCCGAGATCGCGCCATTGCACTCCAGCCTGGGTAACAAGAGCGAAACTCCGTCTCAAAAAAAATAAATATATAAAAATAAATAAATAACAGGATAAATATTGTAATTATTATTTTTTTAAATATTTTAAAAATTTTAAATAAAATATGGAACGCTTGCATGTCATCCTTGCACAGGGGCCATGCTAATCTTCTCTGTATCGTTCCAATTTTAGTATATGTGCTGCCGAAGCGAGCACGATTATTATTATTATTATTGAGACAGAATTTCACCTTTGTTGCCCAGGCTGGAGTAAAATGGTCTGATCTCGGCTCACTGCAACCTCCACCTCCTGGGATCAAGCAATTCTCCAGTGTCAGCCTTCCAAGTAGCTGGGATTACAGGCGCACGCCACCATGCCCGGCTAATTTTGTATTTTTAGTACAGACGGGGTTTCGCTATGTTGGCCAGGCTGGTCTGGAACTCCTGACCTCAGGTGATCCACCCTTCTCCGCCTTTCAAAGTGCTGGAATTACAGGCATGAGCCACCTCACCCAGCTGAAATTTAATTAATGTTAATAATTCAGTTCAGAAAATTCTATATTTCTTTTTTTTTTTTTTTTTTTTTTTGAGACAGGGTCTTGCCCTGTCACCCAGGCTACAGTGCAGTGGTGCCGTCTCAGCTCACTGTAGCCTTGACCTCCTAGGTTTTAGCAGTTCTCCCACCTCAGCCTCCTGAGTGGCTGTGGCTACAGGCATGTGCCACCACACCCAGCTAATTTATATATATATAAATTTTATATATTTTGTAGAGATGGGGTCTTGCTCTGTTGCCCGAGCTGGTCTCAAACTTCTGAACTCCAGTGATCTTCCCGTCTTGACCTTCCAAAGTGCTGGGATTATAGGCATGAGCCACCATGCTTGGCCTGCTTGCCACATTTCAAATGTTCCATAGTCACATGTGGCTAGTGGCTACCATATTGGACAGCAAAGATACAGAACATTCCCATCCTCACAGGGAGTTCTGTTGGAGACAGTCAGCAAGCTTGCTCTGTAAAGGGCCAGAGAGTAAATATTTTAGGTCATTTGATGGTTTGGATCGTAATGACTTGACTATGCCATGGTAGCATGAAAGCAGTCACAAACAATACAGAAATGAATTGTCTGGGCACAGTGGCTCATGCCTGTTATTCCAGCACCATGGGAGGCTGAGGCAGGCAGATCACCTGAGATCGGGAGTTCGAGACCAGACTGACCAAAATGGAGAAACCCAGCCTCCACTAAAAATACAAAATAGCCAGGTGTGGTGGCGAATGCCTGTTAACCCAGCTACTCAGGAGGCTGAGGCAGGAGAAGAGCTTGAACCCAGGAGGCAGAGGTTGTGGTGAGCCAAGATCACACCATTGCACTCCAGCCTGGGCAACAAGAGGGAAACTCCATCTCAAACAAAAAAAAAAAAAAAAAAAGGTCAGCTGGGCACGGTGGCTCACGCCTGTAATCCCAGAACTTTGGGAGGCTGAGATGGGTGGATCACCTGAGGTCAGGAGTTCGAGACCAGCCTGGCCAACACGGTGACACCCCATCTCTATTTAAAAAAAAAAAAAGTCATGGGGTAAGGGGTGCGTGATAGAGGGTCTTCGAGGGCTTTCAAGAGACAGAAGGTAGAGAGTGTTGGGTTCCCCAGCAAGGTCATAGTCCTGGTGAGGGGAGGCTTTGGAAAATCAGAATGTGAACCCCTGGAAAAGTGATAGGGCCACCACGGGCAGTTACCCAGGTTATGCACTGCACATTTCAGAGGGTGCTCTTGTTTTCTGTGCAAATGGTGCCCTCTAGAGTTGCCCAGTGCACAACCTATACAGTCATTGGTGGCAACTCTCATGGTGGAGCCCAGTCCACTCAGGCCCTTTCCTCCTGGGCCACCAGGTTTCCCTGCAGTATGAGAAAGAAGGAAGCTTCTACCACACCTGCGGCGGCAGCCTCATCGCCCCCGACTGGGTTATGACTGCAGGCCACTGCATCTCGTGAGTTCTCTACCCTGTCCCTTCCTGAAGCCCAGGCAGCCGTGGAGAGTGGGTGACAATGGGGAAGGAGGGAGGCGAGCCCATCAGGCCCAGACTGACCTCACCTCCGCCTGCAGGAGCTCCCGGACCTACCAGGTGGTGCTGGGCGAGTACGACCGGGCTGAGAAGGAGGGCCCCGAGCAGGTGATCCCCATCAACTCTGAGGACATCTTTGTGCATCCGCTCTGGAACTCCAACTGCGTGGCCTGTGGGTGAGTGAAAGCTCCAGCCTGGAACCCAGAGGCTCCTCTAGGCTCCAACTCTGAGTAGGGATGCAGGGACAGGGGTGCTGAGCCCAGCAGCCTGTGCCCAGGTCACACACACTGAGGGTTGGAGCCAGCAGAGCCTTTAAGAGCCATCAACACCAAACCTGTCTTCCTACAGAAGAGTGGCAGAGCTCAGGGAGGGGCAGGAACTACCCCAGGGCCACTTGGCTATTGGCTTCAGAGCCTAAGGTTCCTCTGGCACCCTTCTCCCAAATCCAAGGGCTTCTCCATCCAACAGATGGCTCACCCAGTGCATCCTGGGCTCCCAGCACTATGGGCAAAAGGAGGAGCATTGGGCTGAGAGTCAGGCTCTAGCATTAACTCTCTGTGTGGCCTAAGCAAGTCACTGGCCTTCTCTGCACCTCTGTTTTGCTATCTGTCAAAAGGTGACCATGAAATTGGGCTTCCTGGGTGGTTGTGAAGGCCAAGGAGACAATCTTATGCCCTTCAAGTGTATGAAAAATTCTTAAGTCTGAGTGGCTCAGATTTTTCTGACAAGAGGGTCAAGGAAGGGTGCAGAACCACTGCAAATGCAGTGGAGGAATGAGGTGCCATGTGATGAAAACCCCAGCCCCTCTTCACAGGGCTTCTGGGGTGAGTAGAGAGAAAAGGGAGACCCAGACGAAAGGACTGAAGTGACACACAGGCAGGTGAAGACAGAGGGCAGTGGTTCTCAAAGTGTGGCTCCTGGGCTGGCAGTATCAACATCACCTGTGAACCTGTAGAAATGTGAATTATTGGCCGGACACAGTAATCCTAGCACTTTGGGAGGCCGAGGCAGGTGGATCACTTGAGGCCAGGAGTTCCAGACCAGCCTGGCCAACATGGTGAAACTCCATCTCTAGTAAAAATACAAAAATTAGCCGAGCGTGATGGTACATGCCTGTAATCCTAGCTACTTGGGAGGCTGAGGCAGGAGAATCACTTGAACCCAGGAGGCGGAGGTTGCAGTGAGCCGAGATCGCGCCATTGCATTCCAGCCTGGGTGACAGAGCGAGACTCCATCTCAACAACAAAAAAAATTGTGAATTATTGGGCCTTAGCCAAGATCCACTGCATCAGAAACGGGGTGGGATGCAGCAGTCTGTGTTTTAATAAGCCCTCCAGGGGATTCTGAGACAGCCGAACTTCGAGGGTCAAAGGAAAGGACAATTCTGAAGGCGAAGGGTCAGAGTGAGCCAAGGGGCTAGAAGGGCTTCTTAAAATTGCTCAGCCTTGGCCAGGCGCAGTGGCTCACACCTGTAATCCCAGAACTTTGGGGGGCCAAGAGGGGCAGATCACCTGAGGCCAGGAGTTGTAGACCAGTCTGGCCAATATGGTGAAATCTGTCTCTACTAAAAATAAAAAATAAAAAAAATTCGCCAGGCATAGTGACATGCACTTGTAGTCCCAGCTACTCGGGAGGCTGAGGCAGGAGAATCACTTGAACCCAGGAGGTGGAGGTTGTAGTGAGCCGAGATCACACCACTGCACTCCAGCCTGGGCAACAGAGAGAAGACTCCATCTCAAAAAAAAAAAAAAAAAAAAATTGCTCGGCCTTAAGAATGCATTTGGGCCAGGTCCAGTGGCTCATGCCTATAATTCTAGCACCTCGGGAGGTAAAAACAGGAGAATCCCTTGGGCCCAGGAGGCTGCAGTGAGCTGTGATCGCGGCACTGCACTCCAGTCTGGGCAACAGAGTGAGACTCTGTCTCAATAATAATAATAATAATAATAAAAGAGTGGATTTGGAAGGTAAAGAAGCTGGGGCATCTCAGAGGTAGAGCAGCCTGAAGCAACAGCTGGGAGGTAGGACTTGGGCCGGCTGGAGGACCAGCCCCCGTGACTCTTCCCTCCTCCCCAGCAATGACATCGCCCTCATCAAGCTCTCACGCAGCGCCCAGCTGGGAGACGCCGTCCAGCTTGCCTGCCTCCCTCCTGCTGGTGACATCCTTCCCAACGAGACACCCTGCTACATCAGCGGCTGGGGCCGTCTCTATAGTACGTGCTGACTCCTCTAGCTGGCCGCAGGGCCAGTAGCAGGAAGACAGGGCGTGGGGCTGCAGGTTGAAGGTAACACCAGGACTGGTCCTTGTACTTTCCTCCCGTTTCTCTCCAGCCGCAGCCTTCTCCCACCAGCCTCCAAAACATGAATGTGCTCAATTGCACATGTTTTGGTGCCTCCTGTGTGCCAGGTGCTGGGGATGTCATGGTGCACAAAGCATGCGGGACCATGTAGCAGGTGGGAGGAGAGTCCTCATCAGGGCGGAAGAGCTGTGCGGCTTGAACGCCGCTTTCCTCCGGGGCTCCTGGCCATGCGCGCCCCTGACTCAGTGCTTTCTATCCCTGCAGCCAATGGGCCACTCCCGGACAAGCTGCAGCAGGCCCTGCTGCCCGTGGTGGACTATGAGCACTGCTCCAAGTGGAACTGGTGGGGTTCCTCTGTGAAGAAGACCATGGTGTGTGCTGGAGGGGACATCCGCTCCGGCTGCAACGTGAGTCATCTCTTACCTGCCCGAGGCGGTGCTGGGTGTGCAGGACCCTGGAATGGGGCCGTCTGCCTGGAAGGTGGAGAAAGGATCTCGCCCGCTTCCCCTATTCAGCCTCCAGGCCAGGCAGGACGTGGAGAAAGTCAATGTAGTCCAGACACAGAGCTCAGGCCCCGGTGGGAGTCAGGATCCCTGGTTTGCAGTCTCAGCTCACACACTGACATGACTTTGGACAAGTCACCGTCCCTACCTGGTCCTCAGGCTTCCCCATCAGCACAGCAGGAGATACTGGTACCATGACCTTTAATGCCAAGTCGACTCTGTGGTTCTAAAGTTATAATTAACATTAAGAATACTATCATTGTGCTGGGCACAATGGCTCGTGCCTATAATCCAAGTGCTTTGGGAGGCTGAGGCGGGAGGACTGCTTGAGGCCAGGAGTTTGCAATTAGCCTGGGTAACATC